ACCCTTGGGCCTCCTTCTTGATCAACTATCTCGTGATACGATATTTCGCGTTTACAGCAATAGTACAGAAAATGTCCTGTTGACCATTTTGCACATTAGAGACACACATCTGGCCGTAACGAATGCTGAGGTGCCAGGGGAGAGTAATGTTGGTTGTGATGGTTAAGGTTTGGCTGGGCCTTGATTCTCCCTGGCTTGGCAGTTATGTAGTGGTGTGATCTGGCAGTTATGTAGTGATGTGGTCGTCCTCTCTTTGTGTAACACTGACTTTCACATGACAGCCTGCTCTTTGGAAGGTAACCATGTCAGTAAGTGAAGAGTGGGTGTGCTTGAGAAGTGTGATCTTTCAGGACTTGCTTTTAAGGTCTGTTGCTGGGACTGGAGCAGTGGTGAGCCCTGCGCATTCTGCCCAGCGCGCTGCTGGGGGAGGGGAGCAGCCACTGTGGTCAGCCCGTGGGAGCCACTGGCTCTGTTCTCTGTCCCTCTCACGTGGCTTCCTTATACCCTTGGGCTGACTGAAGGGACTCACAGACCTCCCAAGTTCTGTGCCTGCAGAATGTGACCCTTCATCTCCCTGGGTCCTCAGAAGTGTCTTCATCACTCAAGGAGTCTGGCAGGCCACCCCTGGGTTCCGTGGAAACTCTCAAGGCAGGATGCTCCCATTTGCCTCGCCTCCCAGGAGGCACACCCTTCACTGCTTGAGGTGCGGTGTCTGGCGAACCGCTGTTGCACATCTTGTCCGTCATTTCAGGTGGGAGGGTAAATCGGTCCTTGCCCTCCGTCTTGGCTGGAGCCGAATGAGCCTTTTCCGTTCTTCTCCCGTTTTCTCTCCCAGCACCGGAGAGTCTGATGCAAGCACTGGAGGACCTGGACTACCTGGCAGCGCTAGATAACGATGGGAATCTTTCTGAATTTGGAATCATCATGTCGGAGTTTCCGCTTGACCCACAGCTCTCCAAGTCCATCTTGGCGTCCTGTGAATTTGACTGTGTGGACGAGATGCTAACAATTGCTGCCATGGTAACAGGTATTCCTGGAAGCCCGGCTTCTTTCCGTCCATTCTCTGCACCAGACACAGATTTCAATGAGATCTGTTTGAAATGATCACATTTCAGGAAGCACACTGCACACTCAGGGTCAGAGTTTTTAACTGAATGATAGTGTAGTCCCTTGAAAAGTGTAGTAATTATCATAATATGAGGTAAGTCTGCATCAGGACATAGTGGGTTTTGTCGTCAGAGATGAGACCGTGTCCAGGGTGCTTGTGCTGCTTGTGCTCGGAGCCCAGTGCTGTGGACTAGTGCCCAGGCCCCTCGAGGCTTCAGCAGGCTGGGAACTTCGGTGCTCGTCAGGTTCGTCGACTCCCATGGTAACCAATGCAGGGTCAGGAACACGGGTCACTGCAAGTGTTCTTCCCCACCCAGCTGCATGTGTGGTTCTCACTCCTCTCAGCTTGGGCCCCCTGGCTTAGGTGCTTTAACTTCTTGGCTGCCTTGCTGTGCTGTAGCCTCCAGTCCTCGTCTCTTCCTGCCCCTCGGCCTCTGGGCCCGCAGGCCGTCCCTGCCCTCACTGCATGTGACCACCTGCAGGGCATGAGCTGTAGCACTAGCCCTTAGAAAAGCAGACAGACACGAAAAGAAGAAAGAACTGAGGACTGGCTGAGTTTCTGATGTATGAGTCAGTAAAAAGAACACACACCAGCCAAGTGCCAGGCGTGGCGGGGCCCCAGTGGTGGCGCCCAGCCCTCTGCCTGCTATCTGGGCAGAGCGGGGCTCCACTGGTGGCACCCAGCCCTTTGTGTGCTGGCCGGAGGATGTGTCGGTATTGCTGACCGCCGCCTTTCGCACTTTGAAGCTCCTGACTGCTTCTCACGCCTGCCGCACGGAGCCGAGGAGGCCGCCTTGACCTGCTGGAAGGCCTTTGTCCATCCCGAAGGGGATCACTTCACGCTCATCAATATCTACAAGGCCTACCAGGACGCAGCCCTGCATGCTGCCACCGAGCGTAAGTGGTGCTGTCATGCCGTCCCCTCCCAGAACGAGGCTGAGTTGCTGTTGTCACGCGCCCTTCTTCCTGGCCCACTTGGCCCCGAGCGCGGATGGTGCCTGAGGCCAGTGCACCTGGAATGCACCTGTCTGCTGAGGAGGAGAGCGCTCTCCCCTCACTCTGTGATGGCAGGCCTGCCTTACAGTCCCTGTGCTCGGCCCAGCCCGTGTGCAGAGTACATCTGCTTGGAGCATGAAGGCACGGGTGACAGACCTGCACAGCAGGGCCACCCTCCCATGCCTGGGGAGGAAAAGGAGCCAATGCTGAGTGCCTGATGTCACAGAAATGTCAGTCATCCACTGTGCACACAGTGTGACAGCCAGCTCAGGCAGGACCCACTGGGTGCTAGGCTGAGGTGAGCCCCTGGGTGGCCTGGAGTAGTGGGCACTGGGAGGCGGTGTTGGAATGTGGATGCAAAGGCCGGGCAGGCGCTGGGAGCAGGTGGGCTTTCACAGGGGTGATGAAGGATGTGGGAAGTCCTGTGTGTGCCCCTCTCCTGAGGGGAAGAGGCAGAGCAACATGGTGGAGGTGGAGCCCCCAAAGCAGGGTGGCCAACAAGGAGTACCCGTCAAGAGGAGGCGGCATCCCACCTTTACTTCCCACGAAGCACCTTTTAGCACCTTTGTGGTGCTCAGAAACCACACCCATTGACATCGAGTCCATTCCAACTCATAGCAACCCCCAATGGGTTTCCAAGGCTGTAAACCTTTACGGATATAGATTGCCCCATCTTCCTTCCACTGAGCTGCTGGAGGGTTTGAACTGCTGTCCTTCTGGTTAGCAACCAAATGCCTTATCCACTACGCCACCAGCTAGCAGGTGTGAAAAGTACATGGAGTCAACAACCTGACGGCAGACTGAAAGGCGGTAGGGGGCATGAACACACAGCCTGTGCCTCGCGGCAGAGAGCAGGGGGGCGTCCCTTGAGAGCAAGCAGGGTGGGGCACTGTTTGACCAAATACAGGTTCTTGTTGCCCAGCGTCTGCCTGAGTGGACAGGACAGGGTAAGGGAGGGTCTACCCACTGAACCAAAGCCACATGCATCCCAAATCAAGGGGCAACTCAGGGCCCATCTTAGATTACAAGAGGCAAGGAAGAGTAACTTCCAACCGAGCCCGGTGGCTGGATTTTGAATACACAGTGTGCTGCCAGGTAGGTCGATGAGCTGGGCTGCAACATAATGAACCCCTGAGCCATGCTCATGGTAAGTCTGAGATACTCTCACAGACCAGAGAAATTTATACCATCAGTATTTTCCCCCACTTTGATTAAATATGTGGCCGTGCACATCCTCGCTACATACATGACACAGAATGTCGATCTTCAGACCATCAGCTCTACCCACACGAGCCCCAGATGAAGGGTAATAAACTTGTGGTCAGAATGAGGGATGGGCCCTTCTGGCTCAGCAGGTCACAGAATCTTGGCCACCAGCATCCCTGTCCCTGCTGCCTCTCCCTCACGTGACCTTTCTGGGAGAGCTGAGAACCCAGCCTTCCTAGCCTGGCCACTCAGCTGTGACCCATCGTCTCTGAGTGGCCTTTGTCCTCTGCTCCCCCTAGACTGTGTGGAGAAGTGGTGTCAGGACCACTTCCTGCACTGGTCCGCGCTCAGGGCAGCCGACGCCATCCGAGCCGAGCTCACAGAGGTCATCAGGCGCATTGAGCTGCCTTACGCAGAGCCCACCTTCGGCTCCCAGGAGAACACCCTGAACATCAAGAAAGCGCTCCTGTCTGGCTACTTTGTGCAGGTGAGAACAGTGAAGGCTGCAGGCAGCGTGGCCTTTACAAACCTCACCATCCAAGACACACTGCCAGGAGATTCACTTAGGGTGGTGCCTTGATTGATGTCAGTCTCTTTAAACAGAACTAACAGTTCTGTTTTATTAAACACATGTCCTTCAAAGGACTAAACAGAGGGAAAGTTATTCAGCAATTACTCTTCTGGGCTGAACTTCAGACACATCCCACCTCCTGCTGGCAAACTCGTTCACCTGTAGCTGCGATGCTGACAGTAACTGTGACACACCCAAAAGAACCACGTCTCACTCTTGCTCCTCCCAGAGCAAAGGCTGATGTCTGTGGTCCCTGATGCAAGCACGCAACATAGGAGGGGTGCTGCTCATGTCACAGCACAGGAACACTCGTTCCCCATGTACACTCGAGAACGCTCCCAACAGCAAAACGGCGTCTGTACATGGATGTCGGCATCTGTAGGGAAGGACCAGGCACCGACCTCACAGGGTTAGAGGAGCAGTCGCCACGTGGAAGGCACTTGGTGTGGGAGGATGCAGTCGAAATATGCCTGGCGATGCTTTGCTTTTTAGTTCTTGACAAAACCTCAACCTTCATTGCTGCCCTCCTGAGATTGCTCAAGTTCATGGAAATCTTCACCATGGTTTCAGACTCGAGGCTGAAGCCATGGGCAGCAGATCTGTAGCTTTAACTTGTGTGAAAATTTGGGGGGTATTTTGGGTAAGCGATTCTATGTCTTAATTTTCTTACAAAATCTTTTCCTTGAAATCCCACCTCGTAGATTGCTCGGGACGTGGATGGGTCGGGCAACTACCTGATGCTGACACACAAGCAGGTGGCCCAGCTGCATCCGCTCTCCGGGTACTCCCTCAGCAGGACGCTGCCGGAGTGGGTTCTCTTCCACAAGTTCAGCATATCTGAGAACAACTACATCCGAGTCACCTCTGCGGTCTCCCCCGAGCTGTACGTGTAGTGGGGAGATGGGCTACGTCAGGGTCACCTCTGCAATCTCTTCTGAGCTGTATGTGTGGTGGGGAGATGGGGGCTATGTCCGGGTGACCTCCAAGTCTCCCCCAAGTTGTACATGTAATGGGGAAATGGGTTACGTCAGGGTCACCTTCGAGATCTCCCGTGCTGTACATGTAATGGGGAGATGGGGGCTATGTCTGGGTGACCTCTGAGGTCTCCCCTGAGCTGTATGTCTAATTGGAGACAGGCTACATCCAGGTCACCTCCAAGATCTCCCCCGAGCACTACGTGTAACAGGGAGATGGGTTACCTCCAGGTCACCTCCAAGATCTCCCCTGAGCTGTACGTGTAATGGGGAGACGGGCTACCTCCAGGTCACCTCCAAGATCTCCCCCCAGCACTACGTGTAACAGGGAGATGGGCTACCTCCAGGTCACCTCCAAGATCTCCCCCAAGCGGTACATGTAACGGGGAGACGGGCTACCTCCAGGTCACCTCCAAGATCTCCCCTGAGCTGTACGTGTAATGGGGAGACAGGCTACATCCAGGTCACCTCCAAGATCTCCCCCAAGCACTACGTGTAACAGGGAGATGGGCTACCTCCAGGTCACCTCCAAGATCTCCCCCGAGCGGTACACGTAACGGGGAGACGGGCTACCTCCAGGTCACCTCCAAGATCTCCCCTGAGCTGTACGTGTAATGGGGAGACAGGCTACATGAGGGTCACCTCTTGAGATCTCTTTTGAGCTGTACGTGTAATGGAGAAATGGAGGCCCCTTTTGAAGTGACACTAGTGGGGAGAAAGGACAGATTTGGTTTTATTGTATTTTCAGTTACAACCTAAACGTATGATGTGATATTTGAGTCCCTACTAAATGCAGGGCTCCATGGATGATGTCTCCATGTCCCTGCCCTCGAGAGTACACCCTGAGGAAGGGTGCAGCGTAGACACACAAAGCATGAGACACCTTAAGAGGAACCCGGTGCCAGCTGCAGGGGCACAGACACGGGGCGGACTGAGGTCACTATCTTTCAGGAACAAAGAAGCCATGAGGGCTTGAGCCCACAGGGAAGACGAGAAGACAGGCAGGAACTGGAGGGTGTGGGCTTTGTGGGCCACATGGGCTGGATTTTATCCAAGTGCAGAGCAGCCTGTAGAAGCCATGGGGAGGATGGAGACCAGGCTGGGCTCCGGCAGGACTGTGGATCATTTGGAAGGAGCCTACTGCTTGACCACAAGTAGCTCATAGGTGCCCAGCTTTCTCAGCTGGCTGGGGAATGGTACTGGCAGTAAGACAGAAGGGGCGTTACTTCCTCACCCCCCTCAGTTCTCCTAAGGGTATGCTCTGACCTGTCACCCTGCAGTGCGTGTCTCCCAGTGCTCTGTGGCTGGGCACTTCACTGGCGGGAGACACCAGAGGGGCTCCCGTTCTGGAAATGCCACTGGGACACAGCAGGGACCTCCTCTGGGAAGGCAGCCTACAGCACTGAGGAGCTGAGATGGAATGACAGCCCTGCGGAGGCTCGCCGGGGCCGGCACGGGCCAGACGTCTGCTGTCTCACAAAAAATGTTGTTTTCTTCCCAAACAGATTTATGCAACTGGTTCCACAGTATTACTTCAGTAATCTGCCTCCTAGTGAGAGTAAGGACATTCTACAGCAAGTAACGGAGCACTTGACGCCCACTGCAACAACGGACAAGGAAGAGGAGGTGTGCGAGAAGTGCCCGGAAAGCACTGCTGAGCAGAGGTGCACTCTCCAGTGACAAGGCACAACTGCCTGCACGGAGCCTGGGGCACAGCAGGGACCCCAGCCGCTGGGGCCAGTGACACAGCAGGACCACCCCGCAGGGAGCCCGGTGTGCAGTGGGGACCCTAGCCGCCGGGCCCAGTGATGCAGCACGATTACCCGGCAAGGAGCCCGGCGGGCAGTGGGGACCCCAGGCGCTGAGACCGCTGGACCTAGTGGGATGTCAAGACCACCCTGCACAAAAGCCCAGCGTGCAGCAGGGACCCCAGCCACTGAAGAGTGCTGGGCTCTGGGGTGGCAGGTAGTACAGATTGTGAACACCAGAGAAGTCCTGAAAAGTCATACTTTGTAAGGTATTTTAAAAAGAAATACATGTTTTTATTGAGTTCTTTAAATGACTACTGCATGTTTTCCTTCTTACCGGAAAAGCTTCTAATCAACCATTCATAATTTGACCAAATTATGTCAAATGTCTGTAGACATGGTGGCAGAATTCTACGTCTCGAGAGGCCCTGGCTCGGGGTCGAGTCACGCGTTTCTCAGTCAAGTGCCAGGGTTTGCTGGTAATCTTACAGAAACAAGCCCATCGCTGTCCGTGGGAAACGGGTTAGAGGGAGAGGTGTTCTTTCAGCTTCTCCATGATGCCCTCCATGCTGTCAGCCGGAATCAGCATCACCGTGCGCAGGGGCTTCATCGGGATGTCATCAAAAGACCATCTGCCTCCCAGGCACGTGTCGCTCTCCTCCTGCACCGAGTAGCTGAACTTCAGGACTGCCTTCTAAACCAAGGAAGTAACCGTGAGTTAAACATTCAGACAGCCCAAGGGCAAAGCTCAGGTAACTGCAACAGAGCCCTCTGCATGGAAGCACAGTCAACAGGAGTGCAGGTAACAGAGGCAAAGCTGAACAAAAAGCTCAAGCGGGCACTGAGGCGGAAGTTAGGAAACGCCTGCCGACAGGTGCTCCACCTCCCCGGGGGCACGGGCAGAGCTGTCCTGCTGCTCGGAGGTCAACGAGCAGCTACATGTCATCCCCACGACCCCTTCCACAGACTGATTTCTGAAGTCACTCCTTGATGATCTTTCATTTCTCAACAGACTCTTGTGACAGACCAGTGAAGACTCCAAAACGCGACAGTGTGAAGTCTAACTTCCCACTCTCCCCGCTCCTTCTCTAGCAGAAGGCACGGGCACGTTTGCCTAACCAAGCCACCTTACAACACCTATGCCTCCCTAGGCGGTCTACCTAAGTGCTGAGGAAGTCAGGGGAACGTTTCTTTAAATTCACTTTCTGAAAATGAAGGCCAGAGCTGAATCTGTGGTGCTTTAGTATTCAGGGGAAATCTCCAAAGTAGTAAGCAATCCCATCCAGACCGGGGTACACGTGCCCTCAGATGGACTCTAGGTTCCAGAGACGACAGCGTGAGCAGTGCACCGTCCTCGCTTCTCTCTCGTGTCATGTGTTCAGAGGGAACCTAACCAGCGATACATGCGATCAACCAGTCCAGGAGAACGTGTACCCTCGGATTCACGCCCAGGGTCTCTGAGGTGCGGAGTGGAGAAGGAATGCTCTCTGGTGCTCGATTCTTGTTCATGTTACGTGTTACCTTTATAGGAAGAAAATGCTAGCAGGCCTGTAGAGGGGCAGACACGCTGC